AACCATCTGCAATTAACAGGACACGCACGTGCAGATCAATAATTATATTCAAAATCCCCCTCTATTTAATCCCCCAGGATGGTGAAGACAACTTTTTTTATTACCCCCATTGAGTCACCCAACATAAAATATATTTAATTACAAAAACTATATACATATGTTCATTGAGAATTGACATAAAACTCATATGAAGGGGAAGACTGGGGAAATATACAAGGAACTGGGCTTTATGAATAGGGTGAATGTGGCCCAGTACATTTCTGGAGGAATGGTGGGCGAATGTATGGGGAATATTACAAGCAATCCTTCATAAACAGGCCCTTTAGATTTAGATGCATTGTTCTCTTTAAAGGAGAACTATGGGGTCAGTGCTTTTCCCCATAGCTCTCCTAAGGGTAACGGGAGGACACAAACTAGCGTCCTCCTGTCACCCTAGGTCTCAGTATATAGGGAGCTACAGCTCGCTGTATACTGAGACGCCGCAGCCGGAGCGGATCCCGACATCGATGTCGAGATCTGCCCAGCTGCGTGAGGGACAGCTGGCCCTGCCTATCTAGAGGCAGAGCCAGCTGTACCCGCCCCCTCCCCCGTCAATTCCGCCAGTCAGCGCTGGTGGATCGGAGCGGGGAGGGGGGAATCCAGCCCCTCCCCTGTCACGGCAGAGAGCCGTGACAGGATCGAGAAGTGAGCGAACGCCGGCATGTGTTCGCTCACCTCCCGATCTACTGAGCCCACCTGTGACAGTCTCATTGTCACAGGTCGGCTAGAACTATGAGGTGAGTGAAAAGCACTCACCTCATAGTTCTCCTTTAAGGGCTCATTTACATTGTATGTGCAGGAAGACGTAATAGAAAGACACATATGCATTCCAATTAATTTTTGGCACCGTTTTGATCCAGTGCAATGCATTTATATATGAATTGCACATGTGTTTTACATTAACATGGATGGAGGAACCTGGTATATTTTTTTTATTCGGCCCGCAGGTTGAATGAATAATATATAACAGTATATGGTCAGCTTTAGGATGCTCTTTTGTTGAACTCTTTTGGTGGTCTGGCAGGGCTCAATGTCCACAAGTACTATCTAACTGTGAATATAACTCCCCTATCAGTGGGCCTTCCTAGACCCAATAGAGTACAAGCTTCTACCTTCACAGTTTCTACTTCCTTCCATGGGGACCTTCCCTCAAGCCTCCCACCTGAAACCTTTAGATCCAGTTCTCAGTCACACTCATTGCTTATGGGACTTTTCTGGAGGGCTTATTTCCCCATATCTCCCTCTGCTTAACATTCTTCATTCTCCTCTTTTCCCTCCAGGCTTGAAGAACCCAGGCAGATCAGATCTTCTCCATATAAACTCTCTGCTCTTCTTCAATGAGGGTAAATTATTTTAAGAGCTTCAAGACTCACACAGCATTCCTCTGGAAAAGCGTTATTGTTATCTCCAACTTAGACATTTCAAATATGCTTTACTTCTGTCCTTCCCCCCCTTCACTTTCCTTTATGCTTAGACCTTTTAAATGCAAGTGTCGGTCTGATACTTATGGCCCTGGTTTAATATAGCTAATCTAAGCCATGCTGGTGTCCTCTAAACGCACAGTCACCAGGGCATACCAGATCCAGTGGGATCCATCACTGTCTCCCGAAGATTGGCAGGATATTTGGCGAGCGACGGGTAATGGGTTTAGGACTATTTTAATCCTAGAGAATGTATTTAGGGTTCTTTATAGGTGGTATTACACTCCTGCACAACTGGCATGTTTTTTTATTCCCACTTACCCTTCCCTTTGCTTCTGTGAGTGTCCCCACATATTTGGTGGACCTGCCCAATTGTGCATAGACTATGGATCCAGATAACATCATTCGTACGTTTCTTCACACAAATCTTTGTGGAAACCCATGCGAGGTACGTCTTAAGAAGCCCATTTCTATTGGAATCATGATCAATGGAAAGCTGACAGCTATCTCAGCTGATTCCCATGCAAAATGTCTTACTATGTGGCAACCCTGGATATCCCGCTTCCCACCTCCATGGTTTAATAGCTCTTTGCTAGAAATCTGATTGCTCTCCAGTTGCTCAAGAAGCTAAACC